ATATATTTTTTTTTTTTTTTTTGAACCGGGAATTGAACTCAGGACCTCATGCTTGCCAGGCAGACACTGTGTCCCTGAGCTATATCACCAGCCCCCAGTTTTAGAATACAGAAAGAGAATGTATTTGCATTACTAACTTTCTCAAATTAAAAATTGAGAATACTAGACTTACAGAAAACTGTAGATTAATATCTTGTTGCCCACACTTCATTGTTATGTCTTTAAAGAGATGGATAGTGAAAGAAAAAGAGTTCAGTTTATGTTCAGTTTCTATATTTGCCTTATCTAAGAGAGAGGCTCTATATCGACCAAGTGTGAGGAATGCATCAAATAAAGAAACAAAATAGTTTACTTTGTAAATGAAGAATTTAATCTACAATAGGGGAAACAATTTCTTCAATACTACCTAGGGACATAACGTATGCAATTTCTCAATTTACATGTAAGTATTCATCAAGACATACAGGGAATTTTAGATTACTGTTTTCAGAGATGAAATAATATGGATGCTAAAGTGCTGGACATGTACATAACTGCTTAAAGCAATCCTCAGAGCTGTGCATTATTAATGTGTGAGTTCCTAAAGTGCTCTGTACAAGTCATGGCCAGACCTTTCTAATGAAAACAATAGTGTCCGCTGTACCAGAATATTTTGAATTAGATAGAATGTTTTATATTTCTTTTTCAACATTATGTTATGAAAGATGAATTTCTCTGATGTTATATTTTTTCAAACATACCATCAAAGGCATAGAAATATTAGGAGTTCCAAATACCAAATGAAAAGAGAACTTACCTAATACTTCACTGTAAAACTGATTCCATTTCTTCTCATTAAATTCTTGAAACCAAAAGTCAAAATAAATCACATATAGCATGTTTTTCACCCTCCCCATGAAGGTCATTTGATCACTTAACTGTGACAGTGCAATGGGAACATAGGAGGGAGGAAAGGAAAGTCCTCCGCTGTACTTTTCATATGTGTAGCCAGGAAATAAGCGGTGGGTGTACACAAAGGGGACGTGCAGGAGCTCTGCAATCAGCTCACTACAGGGCATGAAAGCATCTGCCAGAATGACATCAAACCTTGACTCTTGGAGTTTTGACATAAGTTTCTTATTCAGAACTAAATCTTTACAGAGTATTTCCATATATCCAGCCTCTTCCCATAGAATTTCTTGCAACACTGAAAAATAAGTCCAAATTGATTCTTTTGGTAGCTCATAAATAACTTTGTAGAGTCCTTTTGTAAAAATATACTCCATGTCACCTATAGATAGTGATGAGGGATAATCCTCAAATTGAATACCAGATTCCTTCTCCACATCAAGAGAAAGGGAAGATGAATGTCTCAAAACGATCACCTCATGACCCTTTTGGACAAGTACGTCCAGTATTGTCTTTAAATTGGTCCAGTGACTGAATTCCATGGGCCACACCAGCACCTTTCCACAGCTCCCAGAACCGAAGTAACTACTCAGCTGAAGCAGCAACAGAACTGCAGGCAGTTTCATGGACATCCTGGTGAAAACAGCTTTTCCTTTCAAGTCGTGTTCCCACTGCTCTTGCCGAGGCTCAAGTAGAAATCATCACTTAGTTAAAATATAACTTGTACTTGCCAAAGTAAATACAGTAAATATAAAAGAACCCGTCAGTATCTGGATGTCAGTGCAAAGAGCAAAAGTGGGAGAACCTTATGTTTAGGTGTGTATGATTGCTTCATGATTATAAGCATTTTCTACAGCTAGAGTCTGATGACCCTACACCTGCAGTGTACCTGTGCTGTGATTGACTGACTTTTTGAAGCAGTGTCAAGAACAGTGGCAAGTTAAAAAGAAAAGAGGAAACAGAGTCAAGGGACATGTGATTTTTTTCTACATAGCTATGTGACACAGAACTAGAAACATAGTCAGAAGTTAGATGATTCAGCCTTTCTTTGCATAGGATTATTCCATAGACTTTTCTTGCACAAACATTGTTCATATATCAATAATAAATTATACACTTTATCAATGTTAAAGACTTACTTCAACAATTCACAAGCTGCAGAATTATAAAACTCTCCAGTGTAATCAAATTGAGAGCAAGTAATCCTCCAGAAATGAACTTTATACTTTTAGCCATTTCACATGCCTCAAACCTATTCAAACACTTTATTGCCTCCTCTCTGTAGAGGTTTGTTTGGGTATTTCATATAAATGGTATCATACAACAGATGGCTACCCGTGACTAGCCTCCATGCTTATGTAATGATTAAAGTCTCACTCACATAGGAGCATGTGTCAGTACTATGTTCCTTGTAATTGCTAAAGCTTATTTCATTGTGTATATGACATATTTGTTGAATTATTATTAAGTGGGTTGACTTTGTCCCTCTCTTTGGGGTGTTACAAAGGATGTCATTTATGAATAGTCTTTAACTGTGGATACGTTCTTATTTCTCTTTGTCTATAACTAAGCATGGATTTCGGAGTCTGATGATAACTCCATCTTTAACCCTAGAGGAACTGGCAGACTCTTTTCTAAAGCGGCTGCACCATTTTCCACTTACACCGCATCAACTGGTTTCTGATTTTGCCATGTTGGTTGCATCGCTCTATGACTTGTTCTTCTGGATTCCAGCTGTATGTGGTCATGGTCTTCACTTAGACTTCCGTGTAATGATGAGAGGCCTAATGATGTTGCACATTTTTCATATGCCTGTGGGACATTTTCATATTTTTAATGCAAATGTATCTATTTAGGTTCTTCAGCCATTGTGTGATTGGGTTGATTTCTTCACGGTGTTTAGTTAGGTTTCTGTGTATCCTGTGTGTGGGTCTCTTGTCACATGTATCATTTTCACATATACTTAATTTTGTGGTATGTCTGTGCAGTTTCCTTGATGGTCTTTTTTCAAGGAGAAAAGACGTAACTTGGATGAAGTCCATTTCATCAATTTTAGCTTCATTGCTTTTGGATTGTGGTACTTATGGAAGGAATGAATGACAAATTAAATTATATGCACATATTTACCCACTGGATTTCTATTTTCAGTTCTAAATTTTTTTTTTTTTTTTTGAGATGGTGTCTCACTCTGATGTCAAGGCCGAACTAGAAACTTGGGTTCAACAGATTCTCCTGCTTCGGCCTCTTGAATAGCTGGGGACTACAGTTGTGAGCCACCACACCTAATTCCTATAGTTGTTACCTTCAGGTTTTGAACTATCTTGAATTAATACTTTTATGTACCAGAAGGTAAATGTCCCATTTTCTAAACTTTGCATATCACTACTCAGTTTTCCCAGCAGAAGCTATTAAAAGGCTACTTTTTTCCAATCGATTGTTTTTAAATCCTTAGAAAAAAACAATGAACAAAATTAAATTGTATTTTTCAGCTTCTACAATCTATTGTTCTCTGTACATTCCTGCACAACTGTTTTGATCCCTGTACATATATTGTCAGCTTTGAAATTAGAGTGTAAGTCCTCTAATTTGGACTTCTTCATTGAAATTTATCAAGTTGATTCTTCAATATATATTTTTGTTTTCTCTCTAAAAATAAATTTTCTGTGTACATGGGTAAGTTTTTGGAGTTTCAATCATTTCCATTCATCTGGCAGTCAGATTTCATGCCAGTAGCATGCCATTTTGGTTGGTTCTGCATTATAGTATACAGTAGAGTCAGATATTGTGGTGTCTCAAGCACTGTCTTTTCCTCAGGATTGCTTTGGTGATGGGGATCTTTGTGGATTCATGTGATATTTAATTTATTTCAGTTTATATGAAGAACACCATGATTCCACTGAACTGCAGACTACTTCCAGCAGTAAGCATGGTTTTGTTTGGTACAACCTATAATCATTTTGGGGTACATGAAGATATCTTCTCAGGATATGAAAATCATAATATTTGATGATACACAAGTTGTTTGAAGGATGCCAAATACTGTTGAAAAACGCATATATAGCAACATTTAAAATGAACATCATGCCAGGGGTGGTGCTGTACTCCTGTAATCCCAGAACTTAGGAGGCTGAGGTAGAAGAATTGTTATAAATTCAGGACCAGCATGGGCTACAAAGTGAACTGAAGGCCAGCCTGAACTGCATACTCAGACCTTGCCTCAAAAACATGAAAAATGATCATCATAATTAAAAATTTAAAAATTTTTTTTGTTATAAAGAAGAGGGCATATATGCACTAAAAATGTACCCAGAAGCTAATGGACAAAGTTCAGCAAAAACCAAAAAGCAATTACCAAATTCATTTTTGGGGAGCTATTACATCACAACAATTCAAAAGGACAAAGTGAAACAAAACACTCAAGAAAAAATATTCAATGAACACTAAAACAATTAATAAATGAGAAATATATTACTGTTTACCCATGGATTCAAAATGGCACACAGTAAAGTAATAATATCTCATCATCCAATTTGACTAGAAGATGCTACCTATTAAATTCCCACACTATTGCTTGCACCAAAATATAGAATTATATCAGCTCAAAATTTATTCTTAAAAGTAAACACCACAAAGCCAGAGATCAACTTTAAAGGTGAGGACCTGATGAAAACACTATTTTATCCTTTAGGATACCTCCTCTGGTTATGTAATTTCTAGAGCTTTCTAAAGAAATGATTCACACTGAGTTTTCATGTAACAAACTTGTACAGGATTTCAAATGCACTAGAAATTTTTACTGGATTTTGAAAATATGAGTTATACATTAGTATTATGCACATGATGCAGTACTGCATACAGGCCAAAGCAAGATGTGTACATCCTTCTACTCAGGATTTCTCACTATAATGCGTTCTTTGTCTAGTATGAATGAGACCAAAATGAGATGGAGAGGAGCCATCTGCTTATGCAGTGTGAGGCTTGCATGCAAGCTCATATAGAGATGAAGGCTTCCCATAGTCTACATTTATGTTTACTCTCAGGGTTAGTTCTTTCATATTTTCAGAGGGTTTGAGGATCATGCATGGCTTCCTTACATTACTTACTTACATATTTACACAGGGGGTTCTCTCCAGTCTCAGCTCTTTCATTCATTTCAAGATAATTGGAAGCATGGAAAGGTTTCCAATATTGTTTACACACAATCTCCTATGTGAATTCTTTCACGTACCAAACAGGTTGGGAAAAATAACTTTTCTCATATTGCTTATTTATGTTCAGATACTTTTCACTGGGATTTCTTTCATATATGTGATCACACCTGTGTTTGCCAAAAGGTTCCACACATTGCTTAGAAAAATAGGGATCCCTAGTTCTGTGAGGTATGCTAATGGAATTTTGATTGGAATTGCATTAAATCTGTATCACAATTTTGGGAGTATGGTCGTTTTCACAATGTTGGTTCTTCTTATCCATGAGCAAAGGATATATTTTCATTTTCTTATATTCCCTTTGATCTCCTTTTTTAGAGTAATATAATTTTTCAATGTATAGATATTTTACTTCCTTTGTTAGACTGTCTCCTAATTATTTAATTTCCTTGGATGCTATTGTGAAGGGTGTGGTTTCCCTTATTTATCTCTCAGTAAATTTGTTGTTTATGTACAGGAAAGCTATTGATTTTTGAGTGTTGACTTTGTACATAATTGAAATTGCTTATTAAATCTATAAGTCTTTTGGTGGAGATTTTAGGATCTTATATGGAGATGATCATATCACCTGCATATAATAATGAAAATTGCTCTGGCTAATGTTTTCAGAACTATATTGAACAGAAGTGATAGTAGGCATCCTTATGTTGTTCATAATTTTACAGTGAAAGATTCCAGTTTTTGTCCATTTAGGATGATGTTGGCTAAGATGGCTTTTATCAGATTGAGATAAAGACCATCTATTCCAATTTTCTGTAGGGTTTTTATCATGAATGAGTGTTGGACTTTGTCAAAAGATTTTTATGCATCTACTGAAATGCTCATGTGATTTTTGCCTTTGGCTTTGTTGATATGGTGTCTTTGTTGAGGTGTATAAACTTCTTCATGGCTTGCTGCATTCTGTTTGCTAGTATCTTACTGATGATTTTTGCATGTCTGTTCACTAGGGAGATTGGCTTATATTTCCTTTCTTGGTTATGCCTTTCTTCAGTTTTGGAATGAAGGCAATACTTGCCTTAAATCTTCTCTAAATTTTTCTAGAATAGAGCGGTGAATCCACCCAGTCTTGGGCTTTTCTTTCTTGGTAAGCTTTTTTTTTTTTAAGGTACCTGGAATTGAACTCAGGACCTTGTGCTTGGCAGGCAGGCATTTGTGCTGCTGAGCTATTTCCCCAGCCCTTTCTTGGTAAATTTTAAATTCCATTTTCACTTTCATTAATTTTAGCCGCTTGTTCCTCAGACAAAGAACTTCTATCTGGAACATAAAAAGAACTGAAAAAAAAACCTGAAGCCCCCCAATTCAAAGACCAATCCCAAAATGAGCATTAGAGATGAATACATACTTCTCAGATGAAGAAATACAAATAGTAAATAAGTACATAAGAAATATTCAACATTACTGATCATTTGAAAGATGCAAATTAAAACCACACAGAAATTACATCTCACTCAGGAAATATGGCTATCATCATGAAAACCAATAATTAATGCTGACAAGGCTGTGGGGAATAAGAACCCTTCTCCACTGTTGTGGGGAGTGTAGACTGGTGCAACCACTGTGGAAGGGAAAAAGCTAGGATT